AGGACTACTAACGCATGTGAAAGTTTTCATTCGCATTTTAATAGCTCCTTTTTTAAAGCACACCCCAATATAATGCATTTTACACGTGTATTGTTAGATTTCCAAGTAGAGACTTAATCAAAAATGCTGTCAGCTAACAATAATCAGAAAAAAACTAAAAAATGTCTAAACGAAAATCAACACAATACAAAAAAATATTGAAAAATATAAAAATAAATCTATTTCGCGGTTTATATTTGTTAAAATAATGTCATTTAAAAATCTTCCCAATGTCTTATTTCATTTTACCTGTAAAGCTTTTATTATATTTGTATTTTTCAATTAACTGTGTATTGCAAAGTATTCTTGTGGTTTTTTATACTAATTTTATACTGTTTTTTTTTTATAATAAGTTGTTTTTTTATATTATTTCATATTTTTATTCATGTATGTGTGTAGCTATGTAAGTACCACAAATAGTAAACAATATCAGCAATGTCTTGGATACCTACATTGATAATATCTTAATCAAATCGGAGAGACCCTCTAATGATTTAGAAACCTAATCTCTAAAACTGTAATCCGTGGCAGAGTTCGGATATCAATTTTTCTTTACCTGAAGTTTGTGGCAGAATTCGGAAACCCCGGCAAAACTATATCTAGATTTCAATAAAAAATTATAAATCATAAGCGTGCATTAAGCATTTTACGTTTGTACTTTTTCCAATATTCTCGTCAATAAAAACTATGAAGAGCAGAGGCCCAAGGGCCGAACCTTGCGGTATACCTGATATTTGATATAAATTATTGGTTTTGTACATAATGAAATATATTGTATTTTCCAGATTATGCAACTTTTCGTAATAATTCATAGATTTGGATATTTTTTTTGCATAGTCCTCTCCTAAGTAACTGTAATGTAGATTAAAATGTTCCATTATTTCCAGAATTCTATTTCCTCTGAACCTAATTTAATTTAATTCCGTTTTAAATTTTGCTTTGTTACATAAGTGATTGACAGTGTACCAAGAAGTCTTAGAAGAGGATTTATTTTTATTTACAAGTTTTTAGTTTTCATCAGTTTTCATTTGTTATACAATATTATTTTTGTCAACGGCGCACCCAAGTATTTTATTTGGGGGGTGTTAATATTTGTAGTATGATATTTTGTAAAACGTAAAATGAGAAACAACATTAACCTCCCTTTAAGGGCACCATTGATTTTTTGTATTATTCATTTAATTCTTGATTAGATTGGTATTTCATATATTGTAAATAATTTGTTGTTTAATATAGATTTTATTAGGGGGACAGTTATCCACTCTTCTCTTTTCTTGTTTTTACTTTACTTTAATATTTATAATATTTTTTCATTACGGTATTAAATTTTGTGAATAAATGTGTAACCTAACCCCTTACCTCATTACTGTCCTCAATATTAAAAATAGTATACCAATTTTCACGGTTTTAAGCATTATTAAACTGAATATAATTTATGTAAGATTTGAAATAAAATATTTTTTTTATGTGTGTTTTTAATTTCATTGCATCCAATTAAAGTTATTATTGATGATACTGGTTATAAGAATCAGAGATTTATTAAATATAGGTTAGTTAAAACTATCTCGTTACAAAAAAATAATGAATTAGTTAATACAATTTCTTATACAAAGAGCTTTATCAATAAAATATCGCTCCGATCCAACCCGGAACCGATCAAAAAGTTAATGAAATAATGAAAAATCTAACAGAGAGAGTAAGTTGTAACCTAATCCGGGATCAACAATCCCACCCCATTGCATTCCATCCCCAAGTGCAAATATAGTTCCGCCCCACGTGTTCACTACTCCCCTATTCTTGCTCGCACCCCCGTATAGACAACAAGTGTATACGTTGAGGCAACATTAAAGGCACATTAACATAGGGCGGGGCAAATTAGGAATATAGTTTATTTTGCAACCTGATAGAGGTCACACACTTGCATGAAAAGCAGGGCCGTAATCTAAAAAGTCAAATGTGTTTTTTTTTTATTTATTTATATTTATATTTCCATAAGATAATATTAATTGTATTGGAATATATATAAATTTTTCACAGATTCATGAGAATTTAAAAAATAAATAAATATAATAATAATAATAATAATAATAATAATAATAATAATAATAATAATAATAATAATAATAATAATAATAATAATAATAATAATAATAATAACGACTTTATTGTTTTAGAGATATTTACGTTAAATTACAAAAATATAATTTAGAATAAGCAAAGGACGAATTTGTATACACTGGCTAGTCAATTAACGTTTAAAAAAATATCACTATGATACAAAAAAAAAACCATTAAAAAGACATTAATTAGAAGAATGAGTAAAGAAATCCAACAAAACAAAAAAGCAGAAAACCATTTAAAAGAAAAATAACTGGTGAGTGTTCAGCACAAAAGTTTTAAGTTTTACTCTGAAAGAATTATAACTAATAATTTTATACTATTGTGGGATGACATTATACGAGTAGACGAGGTAAATATGATAACTAAAACATCTTCTCAAATATTGTGTACAAAGTGTTCCCCTATACCTAATATTAATATAATGAACATCTCTTCGAAATATTATTTTTATGTGTACATAAGATGGTCTTTTCCTTGTGAATATTTTAAAATAAAAATTAGCAGAGTGAAATAACCTTCTATTTTTCCATATTAAGCCATCCTGCTTCTCTCTCTCCTATTCTTTAGCGTCTTATTCCAAAAATTAGTATAAAACATGAACTTTGATTTTTTTTAATTTTGGATTGATAGTAGTTTTTTTAAATATGGACCATAATTAAATACAGATAATACAAGTTTCTCACAAAGAAGTCATAAGTTTTTAGCTTCTTCGTTTATTTCAATGGTTTGATCATTCACTACGATACTAAAATCTTCGGCAACAATATCTCTCCTTAATGTAGGACCAAAAATCTGTATATTTGATTTATATGAACTAATGAGAAAAGAGTGTTCACTTATGTTCATCTCTTATAAAATAGTTTAGATCATTATTGATAATGTTAGAAGCACTTCGTACCATGAAGTTTAGAAAAAGCATTTATGTCTAGGAATTCTTTATGATAAATTTTAAACTGTCTAATATTATTACATGTCTTTATATCTTATGGTAATTTACTATATGATATTGGCTATACAAAGTGGAAGAAACGTATTTCGATTTTGTACAAAATTATTGACATTTTTTAGTTAGACAAGAATCTTTGGAAGATGACTCAGACACAGTTAGGTATAATAAAGTCTGCAATGAATTATTTATAACAAAATGTCTAGATGCATCTATTATTAAGAATATTAAGAAGTAAGTGACCCTGTGGTTTCCCGTTTCTTCTAGTCAGGGTTATGTGACGTTAGAACTTACACTTTCATTTATTTTGCAACACTTTTGACAAAATAAACATAATATACTGTCAACTGAATGATATCATCGTCAAAGCAAAAAAATATTTGTTACAATTTTTTTGAATATCATTTTTTATAAATGTGTATTGGTTTAAATTTTTTTATATGAATTATGAACGAATTTCATTAGTTTTAAAGGAAAGTTAAGATCTTAAAAATGAAAATTTAGAAATAAATTTCATTGGCCAAAGGTTAGGCACAATATGCCAGATATCATCACAGGTTCGAATTCTGCTGAAGCATATGGGTTTTTCAATTTTTCTTTGGCACATATTTATCATTAGATATAGAAATGTATTTTTTGCATTATTTTTGCTTATTTTAACGAAAACGAACGGTGTAGAAGTGTGAATCCAACAAAATTCTTTCATATTGTTAATGTTTATGCATTTGACTATAAAACCTAAAATTAAGTACAATGTAATTAAAAAATTGGCGAATAAAAGTTACTTATCGATCAAGAAAATAATTGTAAATTTTTGGAACAAATAATAAATATATCAATTCAAATATTATCAAAGGTAATACCACGAATCCTCCAAATTTTATCGATTAAGTTTTTAGTTTCCACATCGTATTTAATTAGAAAAACCACGAAAACAAACCGATCTTAAGTCAGTTTGTTTGAATGGTTTTGCCTGAAAGAGTAGTCGTTTGAGTATGGAAACTCAAAATTTAATAGATCAACTTTGAAAGGACGAATGATATTTGAAAAGATCTATTTTTGAATCATTTTGCATGAAAAACATATTTCGAGTAGGTTATAATCTAAAAGTCTTTATTAAACATTCTATAAATTTGTTTATTTTATATTAATATAATTTCCTTTAATAGTCTAAAAAAAATGCGATATGGCAACGACGCATTACATCATCAGTTGTAAAAAAAAATTGACTGTCTTTTTAGCGCAGATATAGCGTACTAGTGTATAGAGTTCCCATGCGAAAGGTGTGGGTTTCAAATCCAGGATGAGAACTAATTAAAATCTTTTAGTTTATAAAAAAAGTCATATTATTTTAAAATAGTTATTTTATCTTAACAAACTCTTAAATAATTTTAAAAATTTTGTAAATTTTCGGCAATGGGTCGTAGAAAAAGTATCATTCATATGACACATTCTGCATACCTTTTTGCAGAAAAGCCATCAACTTGAAAATTATCTATAATATATTAGACGAATTAGCACAAAAAAAATTGTTTATTTTCATTTAACATTAACAGAAAAACTATCAAAAATATTTATCATTCATTATAAAAACAGTCTGTATACCTTTTACAGAAAATTCATCAACCCAAAAATTATCTATATTAGACGAACTAGAAATCCAATGAAACGTTTATACAACGAACAACCTTTCCCAAGTCCTATCCTGCTCAAATCAGAATCGGTCCATCACATCACAAGAGGGATGATGTTGATATACGGGGTAAATCCTGATAACCACCTATGGTATTGGGTGGTGGGTGAAAAATTATGGACTCAAAAACCACCAAACTTATCAGTCAAAAACCGACTACTGGCCAAAGGGCACCAAAAGGTTCAACCTGTCATTTCCTAGGAAACATTGTCAAATAAATATCTTGACTGGTAAAAAGTCACCAGACGTTTAGAGAAAAATGTTTTCATCGGGATATTTTCTGCCTTCCGGAAACGTTTCTTGTTATGTGACAGGTTCTTCTGAATTGTTAGTGCCTGGACGAGTTACTGCTAGCAGTGGGATTCCTCAGGGATCGGTTACGGAGCCTTTGGATCCTGAGACGCTGGTGGGTCAACCTGACGTTCAGCAGGTGAGTTTTTAATAAAGTGTTTATTTATTTTTTCATAAACAAACAAAATTTCTTTGATTATCAGTCAATCTATATTTTTATTTAACTTAAAAACATATAGTATAGGGACATAACAAAAATGTTAAAAAATGTTATGGACGAAACCCATTTTTTTGTTTCTTATATTGTTCAAAGTATTAATAGTTTCAAAAAATTATTAGAAAAAAAAATAGATAGCTTAAACTAGTTTAAATAAAGTAAATATTTTGTCAACTTTATTATTAACAGACTTATTATAATTAAGCTTTTTTTCAAAAATGTTTACATTTTCAAATACGTGTCTACAGCGTCGTGATTAAACTTTGTCTTCGTGCGATATGGCTATCATATCTACTCTTGTTACACAAACTACTATTGTAAAGTATAGTTAGTTGGTTTGCAAAAATACATACTTGTAAGACAATCATTAACATATCATTGTGCAAGTTGTAGATTAAATTGTCTATAGTTGATGTTTCTAGATGTTCCATTATTAAATTAGATTGTAGGAAATATTGGAGAACTCATTGCCATACCGAACACTTAGGAAAAAAATCATTTCCATATTTAAAAATATCGTTTTTAAACAGAATTTTACACTCTCTAAAAATTGGTTTTGAGAAATGGATGTATGTCTTTAATATATTCTCATTTATTTCTTACACATTCAATATCAAAGTCCAAAGGAATGTTTGTATAAAGTTAAGTAACATTAAATGAAACCAAAATATGAACTTTTGGCACGATCTGTTTAAAGTGGTTCCCAAACTGGGGGCAACGCGAAAGCCCTGACGTATATCTACAAATTTTATTTTTAGCTTTAAAAAATTTAAAAAATCATATGTGACAAATTCAAATAAAAATAATAATGCCGCACCACCCTTCGCATTAGATTAGACCAGTGATTCCAAATGACAATTTTTTAAATAATTATGTTTTATTCTAGTTTTTGTTTCTATAATGGGGGGGGGGGGGGGAGGAGAGCTGATCACCTCTTTATTTCAAAAAGGGGGTGTCATGAAAGAAAGTTTGGAAACCACTGGTTTAGAAGTAAATTTATAGAAATGCTAAGAGTCTTTAATCTGGAAGTTAGTTTTTCCAATACTATTTCCTAGCGAATCTGAAAGGTATTTAGATAAATTAGGAATAAGTCGGGAATAAGTCTTAGTGATAATGGGACGTAGTAAAATATTTGGTTTATGTTTTAGGGAGACCATATAAATATGAAGCAGTACCATTATGTGCAATTAATGATTAATTTTTTTTGTTCCAGTTTATTTCTTTTTATTATACCATTCATTTATCATTGAGTTTAGAGATGTTTGCATTTTATTAGTTACGTCATTTTTCTCTTTTTTATATTTATGAAGTCTAATAAAGTTTAAAGTTTTTTGTTATATTGATTAAAAACATAATTATTACTGTTTTATTACATTTTTTAATTACATCTTTTAATATATTATTTGTGTAATTTTAAAAATGTTTTATGTTTTTGAATTAAAAAAAGACGTATCGGAACTGGTAAATAATTTTGTCAAGATTTTAGAAAAATAAAATACAGGTTTTGCTAGCAGCATTAAAAAAACAAATTTGTCGCGAGGTTAAAATGAGCTTCTATTGTTGTTTTTGGAAAAGAGACTTTTATTAAAAAAAAAAATTTGACGAAGAAAAGAGAAAAAACACAAAGTTGTTGGCCACTGGGAACTTTTATTAGATTAAAAAAAAAAATTCAATTTGTAATTTGTAAAGAATAAAAATTTATAGAAAATCAGCAATAGTTTTAAATTAATTATGTCTTATGACTAGAAGAAATCCATGTAAGGCTTAATTAACAAATTATACAGGCTGTTCATTAAAGAATGAGCCAAACTTCAGATGTGGTTAGTTTGGACAAAAACAGGTTCATTTAAGCCGATTTACCTTAGTAGAATTTTGCTTGACAGGGTGGAGAAAATAATTTTTTTTTTTCAAAATTTTTACGATAATTCAATTGTTTTTTGAGTAAATATACCCAAATTTTGTGATAGTAAGTTTTTTGCATGATACAAATGAATACCAGCTTTTTTGTTGCATTACATGTACAGGGCGTTCTAAACTGGCGTGCGAATGTAGTATTTACTTCAGATTTTTTTTAAGAATGGAAATTTTTAAAAAATTATTAATTATTTTGAAAAAGCGTTCAATTTGCTTTAAAAAAGGTATACTTGTTGCATGTCGCTAATATTCATCATTTGAAGAAAATTGAATTTAAAGTTAGTACTGCAAATATATATGGATTACTCCATAATTTCTCAATTTGATAATGTTAAATCTAGTAGGCAGTTGTCAAATGTAGTAGTACTGTCAGAATTAGTCTTACATACAAGCATCAGAGTTTTGAGCGATAAAATTTGTTATTTTTATACAATGCCGCGACATAACTTTTCCTCGAACACTAAAATGCCCTACAAGGTTTTAATGCACGCGTTTCAGCAAGAAGTTACACAGATTTGTATCCTAATCGTAGACAGCCTAACCGAAAATTGTTTACATATCTATTCAGCAGATTAAGACAAACCGGAAGTTTTCGCCCAAAAAGAGTCAATGAACGACCTATGGTTCGAGATTTACAGCAGGAGGAAGAGGTATTAAATCTTGTTGAAAATGACCCAGCAACAAGTATCCGTCGTATATATGCCAATGTTGGTTTATGTCAGGGTATTGTGTCTAACATTTTACATAAACAACAATAATTATACCCGTACCATTTAAACTCCAGTCCAAAATCTACTGCCAGATGATCTTTTAGAGAGAACAAATTTTAATCAGATCAATAAAAATAGACAAGATCCATTTTTTGTAAATAAAATTCTATTCATTGATGAGGCAACATTTACGAGAAGAGGAATTTTTAACTACAAAAATGCTCACACAAGGGCTGTAGAAAATCCAAACAATACGAGAGTGCAGCACTTTCAGCATGAATTTAAATTAAACATTTTTTTTTTGTATAATGGAAGATTATAGGACATTTTGAACTTCCAACAAAAATGACTGGAAATGATTACTGACATTTCCTCGAGTACAATTTAAGTTGGTCTGCTAGATAATGTTCCTTTAAATATTAGAGTTGCTATGTGGTATTTACAAGATGGTGCCAATGTCCATTTTTCCATAGCAGTACGAAATCATTTTACGTATTCCCCCATCGATGGATTTGACGTGGAAGTGAACATCCATGCTCTGCACGTAGTCATGATTTGAACCCTCTGGATTTTTATTTTTGGGGTTACATTAAGGCTCTAGTTTATTCTGGCCCTACTGTTAATACCAAAAATAAATTGTGGCAAAAAATCGTAATAGCGGCTAATGTTATTCGACAAGACCATTCATTCTTCGCAGTAAGAAGAAATTTCTTGAAAAGATGTAGAAAATGCATTGAAGTAAATGTCGGACATTTTGAACAAATAATTTGAAATAAATTTGAAAATTCGGAAACAAATCTCAAAAATCCCCTTACGAATTATTAAGACCATCCCCGGACCCCAAATGTGAAAACAAAAATTTGTCATTGCCGGGAGTGCCTGAATAATTTGAAATGAATTTTTCGCTTCTACTATTGTTGTTATATTGAAATTGTTTAGTTTTTCAATTTGTTATTTTTAAATTTGGGTATATTTACTCAAAAAATATTTGAATTATCGTAAAAATATTGAAAAAAAAATATTTTCTCCACTCTTTAACTTATTAAGCAAGCAAATTTCTACTAAGGTAAATTGGCTTAAATGAACTTATTTTTGTCCAAACTAACCACATCTGAAGTTTGGCCAATTCTTTAATGAACCTACTATACAAGCTATAGGTATAATTAAAATGTGAAGATTAACTAAAAATCGTTTTGTTTTGTTTTGCTATTAGAAAATTATAGAATAGAATGTTTCAAATTATTAATACAGTAAATACAAAAATATTTCTGTTTCATTTCAAGGACTGTGCTAAAAAATTCAATATACAGGATGTCTCCAAAAGAGTGGGGCTAAACTCAACTATAAGACTCATGAGATAAACAATGAATTAACCCAACTTAGCTATATCTAAAATTATCTGGTTATGTCGGTACAAGTCACAAAAGTATAAAAAAAATATTTTTGAATATATTCTTTGGTCTCTGAGGGACGAATCCAGAGAGTACGGTGGATAAGACCAATATTAAATTCCCCATATAAATTGAATCAATACTATCGTCATGAAAAACTGCCAATTAGCAATATTGTAGGAAGACGTAAGTATTTTTTTGAAACATTCGGTTGGAATGATTCATTGGGCATCAAAAAACTAAAGTTTAGCTTTCACCGATGTATGTGGGCTACAAAAGAAAAATGTTTTTACCAATAATCTATAACTATATTTTACGAAACGTCATTAATCACAAAGAATGATAAAAGTGGGCAGTTTAATATATTGAACAATTAGCAATAAGTACTATATTGGGTATGCCCTCGAAAACTTTGGATGAAGTAAAATTTAAGTTGAATTTTTGTAATATAAGACAGTGCACACGGGGGACTAAATTCTACAAGCTTTCATCTATAGGTAGCTTGAGTTTTCATACTGAATAAAAATATCAAAATTTTAAATTAAAATATCTTAAAAAGTAATCTTTATAACTTTTTTATTAAGACTCTACTCCAAAAAGTGTGCTCATTCATAATCCCTCATAATATAGGATCATTGAAAATTCTGTGGAATAAAATTTTACCAGAAATAAATCAATCCAAAATTTTTTCGCGGACACTCGGTATACAATTTAACTATTTTAGAATTTCCATTTTCTATATGCATATCTGTTGTTCTAGATATCTGTAAGATTGTCAACCACCGGAATAATAGAACTTGAAGAACAATTCAATTCAACATGGTCGCCTTCCACGCACTGGATTAGAGCTCTTCGACTTTCAGACGATTGTCATTCTTACAATCTACAGTTAAAATTACAACCGTATAACTCTCTGAAGACGTCTCAACCGCCGAAACTTATATTACAGGCCATGAGGCCCATAGAAATTGGACAAGAGTTGCAATTGTGGTTTTCCGAAGATATTTTAGCGATGTTGCAGATGGTTTTTTTAACACCAGCAAATATACAAGGTATATAATGATAAAATAACCCGGCATATTATGATGTATAGGACAAAATAGGATAGCTAACGTTATTTGACTCGAAACTCTCTAACTAGGCTATTAATATCTACTGTTTATAAATTCTGCAATGACCCCTTTCTATGTTTAAGTATAGTAATTTTTGAATAACTTGTAAAAAAAGTAAAGTTTTCCGTTTTACCCACCTGGGGGTCGATTCTCGAGTTGTAGGAATTTGATTCCGAGGAAAATGAATTCCTATGATAATATTCCTACAGTTTTAGTTGTCAGTATTCTCGAGTACAATAGGAATCCAATTTCCTGTAGGAGTTCCAATTTCAGTATGTCTCTGATAATTTCAAGATAACGCAAAAACGAGCCAATGGAATGTATTTATTTCAGTTAAATATAGTTGTTTAACTGTTGGCAACAAGGCAATTGGACAATTTGTCAAAAATATTTGATTTTCTGGATGTACTGGTTATTTATTTTTAATATTTTTAATTAGCAGCAAAAAGAGAAAACGAAAAAGTTTCAGAAGGACTACCATTGTGATTACCGTTATTCAGGGCCTACTAGAGGGGGGTAGCCGGGACTAATTCCCGGGGCCCGGACTCAAATGGGGGCCCGGCAGCGGTAAAATGGGGGCCCGGCAGCGGTATAAGGGGGGCCCGGCAACTGGAATTTTTGTTTTGTGTGAGAAAAGAAATTCGACACAAGACGAGAGGGGGAAGTATTAGGTTCGGAAGTTTTTTTTTTTTTTAGAAAATTGAATCCAAGTAGAGGAGGAAAAGTTTTTGTTTGAAGAGCTGTTTTTTTTGTCACTGGGCCCGATCTAGATAAGTGTCCTGGGGCCCGGCTTGGCTCTCGGCGGGCCTGCCGTTATTTATATTTATAAGTAGAAACTAAAGAAAGTAACTAGTACAAATGTTTTTCCTACACCAAAAGGTTGATGCTTGTATCCTCTAATTTCTGATTTGAAATACAAAAATAAAGGAATACTTTCAATATTTAGCAAATTCTAGTAAAATTCACATCATACATCATTATAACTTGGTTTGGGCTCCGTCGAGGAATCCTGATGTGCGAATTTCGCAAAAAAAGACTCAAAAGTAACTAGTTTCTTTGGTAAATTTTCATAAAAAATTTATGGATTTTGGTATACTTTATTTATTGACTTAAAGACATTTCAAATAGGATAATTTTACTCGTCAAATTAAAATTAACTTTTAAAAATATATGTAGTATGTTTCTTTTTGAAAGTTTGGAATCGCCTAAAAAGTAAGCATAAATCAATAAACCACATTAAACAAGCTACTATTGCGCAAGCGCGATTACAAAATCTTGTAGGAAAATTAAATTCCCTGTCTCATGAGCATGGGAAATCATTTCCTATAACTGCTTAGGAAAATATTCCTACAACTTGACTCCAGAATACGTAACCTACTTTCCTATAGGAAAATCAATCAAATTCCTATAGGAAAAAAGTCGAGAATCGACCCCCAGGTTGGGTAAAATAAGATGGTATTGGAATATGAATCAAAAGATATTGAAGTAGAATATATTTATTGAACTTATATTTATAATAACAAGTATTAGAAATAAAAAATTTAAAAAAACCGACTTCAAAAACGTGCAGATGCCATCACCACATCCTAACCAAATTTATATGGACCACCCCTGAGGTACCCCCTTACTAACAAAAAAAGAATCATAGAAATCGGACAAGGTGGTAAAGCATTATCGCTAAACATACATAAAAAATGAAGAGTTTGAGGATTTTCTCATGGACCCAATTATTAGATTTTGACTAAATTTATATGGGACCACCCCTGAAGTATTCCCTTTCTAACAAAAAAAGAATCATTGAAATCGGACACCGTGTTAAAGAATAATCGCTGAACATACATAAAAAAAATATCGCGACGAATTGATAACCTCCTCCTTTTTTGAAGTCGGTTAAAAAACAAATTAACAGTTTAAAACCGAAAAAAATCGCACGAATATTGCCAACACTCTTATTTATATTATCATTTAGTTTCATTTCAATATGTTTTAGGTCAAAAAAAGTATGTCTGCAACCGTTGTTCAACGTTATACGAATCACCTAACCCCTTGAAACTCCACATAACACTCGGTTGTGGAAAATTATCGATTTCGACCCTATGGAAAAAATTATCCAACGCTATGAACGACAATTTTCAAAATGTAGGAAAAGAAGAAAGTTTTCATTTTCAGCTCTATTTGGGCCAACAAGTAAATAAACAAAATACGGCAATGGATTTAACTAAAAACACCGAGGCAAGCCGATTGTATAGACCTTATGAGAAAGAATCGTCTGCTTTTAAACCTTTCAAAAAAGAAGAAAGTAATAATTGTACTAGGGAGTATGATAGTCTTAGTAAGGTAAGAATTGATTTTAAGTACTCTGTCTATCATTAGATGTTATATTTGTTGAGATATACTCAATATTTCACATTGTATCGAGAGTGTGAAATTGGTCTTCAACGTTGAAATAGGCAAAGCGATTACGTCACCCCCTTGTGATATATAGGCATCATTTCATATCCAATAAAATGTTTCACTAGACAAGCGACGCCACTGCGCGAAAAGATGATTGGTCATTCAGTTAAAAACACAAATTGTTACATTTTTCAGCGTTAAACGTTAAATATCAAAGCTTTTCACACCTTCGAAAAGGAAGGAACTCTCACACACGGTCCTCGCTACAAGCCAAGCCGCCATGCACCGACATGCCAGCATTTTTACTAAAAAATAAACTAGTTAAATTCAAAGGCAATGTCACTCATTTTTTATGCAAACAAAGAAGGTATATAGTTGACTATATACAAACACTTGTATAATCGAATATACAAGAGTTCGTATATTCACTTATCCCAAAACTGCGACTGGATGTCCATTTCAAAATTTGACAGTTGTCAATTTTGTTATAATTTTCTATCACACGGTTCGTAGACACCACGGTGGCTTCATCATCCGTTGCTAAGGAAGACTGTGACGTCACAGAATGCAAAATCGAGTTGACAGAAAATATTCAGCTGCGGTTCGTACATTAGTTTTTTAAAAAATCTAATATTTTATTAATATTTAGTGGTATTTATATTTTTATTTTTGGACTATACATCTGCGTTGGAGTTTTTATAAAATCGGTAATTTGATTTTTTTAAAGACAAACCACAAGGCATGGAAAAATCGTGTAATGATTTCCATCAAATTTCAAATGAACTACTTTTTATTTGAATTATAAAGAGAAATATTATTTTGTGAATGTTTTTTTTTAAACATTTTGGATTAGTGTACGGCCTCCTTGCTAAATTCGGATCACACTTTGATTATATCCCGAAATATTTTGAAATTTTGGCAAGCCTGGAGCGGGCCGTAGTTGGCAAACAATTTTTATTGTTTACTCACAAAAATCGTTAGAATAAATAAATAAATAAACTGAAATTAAAGACTAATGGTAAGATTTTAGAGTAATTATTCTGCAAATATCATTCAGCATTTTTAAATTAATTGCAGTTTTGTCCACCCTACATTTAAAAGCAGACGAGATGATTTCTTACAAATATTAAAAACAACCAAAAGCAGAAAAGTCAAAGGGCTTTACTAAAAGAACATACATTTTTGAAAAAAGGATTTGCTACAGGAAGGTTTTACTAAAAAGTACATAGTTACAAATCATTTTAAAAAAGAAAACAAGAGCCTTTTAGAGTTGAGAACAAGTTTGTAAAGCATTCACGAGAAGATATTTGAGTAAAAGGTACTATGTAAACCGTACATGCTAACAGAAGTTGATGCATTCTCTAGGTTTTCCTTTGTTTTTCCATGTACCAGCATGGCTTCATCTGAAGTAATAAATCATTTCAGATAATTATTCTTTATCTTCGGTACTCCCTCCTATATCCACTCTGACAATGGTACATCTTTTATTTCTCATGAACTCAAATCATACTTAGATGCTCAAGGTATTGCCACTAATAGATCTACTCCTTACCCATTAACCTTGCACTCCAGTCAAATGGACTGAAATTGAGCCAATGGGAGAGAGTACTACCAGAAGCGCTTCATTCGATTCACTCATTACTATGCACTGCCACCAATGCAACTTCTCATGAGAGAATGTTCAACCACCCCCGACGTTCTTACAGTGGAGTATCTCTCCCTATATGTTTAACATAACCTGGACCTGTTCTACTTCGTAAATTTAATAATTGTAAATTTAAATCGTGAGTCGAGAAGATCAATGCGATTAAGAAAAGCCCTGACCTTTCTAGATGATTCTGTGAGATTTTAAAGGTGGGAAGAATGTAGTGATAATCAGTGAGTGTACTTACATACTTAGTGAGTTAGTTACTTAGTTATTTATGTCAAATTGTTATATTTAGTTCAATATCAATGTCGCTTTCTGTTTATTAAAACCTTAAGAAAGGTTTCGTATTTTATTACAGAAATACTCAAAAGTGTCCCTTGCTGGGGATTTTAAGTTTACAAAAGTGCGCTGCTAAAATAAATCTGAGATATGGTCTTGGATGATTTAAGTACTCCAAGTAAATGTAATATTTCCTCTGTGTATTATATGTATATAAACAATAGATAAAATCGTTTTTCTCTCATTTGGAACCTATATTTTTAGATTATTGTAATAAAACTGGGTTGTTGTTTTATTGTTTTTTTTTTTGAGTATATACATCCTAGAAACTGACAAAATATATTTTTTATTTCTGATATAAATATACATTTTATGGTTCTTCTGAAGTCCAATAGGTTCTTGTTTTCTTGTATAAAATTATTTGCAACTACTTTTTACTAAAAAGTTCCTGTAGAAAACCCTATTTTTTTCAGTAATGTAGGTTCTTTTAGTAAAGCCCTTTGAATTTGCTTGTTTTCTGTTGTGTTTAATGCTTGTAAGAAACCATGTCGTCTGCTTTTAAATGTAGGGTGGACAGAGCTGCAATTAATTTAATAATATTGAATGATATTTTCAGAATAATACTCGAAAATCTTACCATAGGCCTTTAATTTCAGTTTCAGTAAAATTGTTTATCACTTTTTGCAGGCAACAGGAACACTACGGCTAGCTACAGGCTTGCCAACATTTCAAAATATTTCTGGATATGAACAAAGTGTGATCCGAATTTAGTAAGGAGGTCGTATCCTAATCCAAAATGTTTCAAATAAACCATTCACACAATAATATTTCTCTGTATAATTCAAATAAAAAGTAATTAATTTCAAATTTGATGGAAATCATTGCATGATTTTTCCTTGCTGTTTTGTAGCTTGTCTTTTAAAAAATCACACTACCGATATTATAAAAACCAGAACAAAGTTCAAAAATAAAAATATAAACACCACTAAATAACAATAAAATATTAGATTTTTTAAAAAACTAATGTATGACACCAAGTAAAATATTTTCTGTCAACTCACTTTCTCATTCCGTGACGTCACTGCGTCCTTAGCAACCGTGATGACGCCACCGTGATAGTCCACTAACCGTGGGACTAGGCAGCTTAAAGAAAATAGATTACAATATGTGGGTGGAATGCCCTTGTCAGTGTTTTGCCCCGGGGCCCCACCATGGCTTTCGGCAGCCCTGTCTATGGCTCATAACTTACAAAACATGTGTAAAAGTTGCAAGGAACTTAAGATAAATTGGTGAAATCAGGCAATAAGTGTCTTAATTTGAACCTTTAGACTTAGAAATGGTTGTACTATAGTCTACGGAGATATTTTAACGTGTTTTGGGAAATATCTATAATATAGATAGATTTGTTAATATATTCATTTTTTTAATAAAAGCCATTGTAAAATGGTTTAAACCAACAACTACTAGATTAATTTTGTTTATAAAAATCGAATTGCAAGCATTCACGGTGTTATCCACGAAGTATGTGAGAGTCTTGTTACAAGGATTGTTTATGGTTATAATTCGGAATTGACTCAACATGTGGCTCTAAAACGCACAAAAGGCTTCTAAAATTATATTGAAGAAGTATATTTTTATTCTTGATGTCAGTTATTATCAGTTTAATGTATTTTTCTCGTTGCAACTATCATAGTTGAAGATAGGTACTATGAAGATAAATAAACTCTCACAAATCATCCAGACTCTGTGAGCAGCCGTTTCGCTCAAGGGCTTAATTGTGAATAAATGGATTAGTTTTTGTCGTTGTTGGTTTGAACCATTGGTAGATAAATCAAACAGTTATAAATTTTTAAAAAATTGCGTATTTGTACTTGTAAAAACCAGACTTTCTAAATAAAATATATTTTTATTTTTTACAGAATGAACAAATTAATTTAGCCCTTCCACCTCCCCTACTTCCAACTTGTTTCGACCACATGGCTAACCCCGTATACAATGACGAAGCCCAAATAGAAACGTTAGTGAGCAGTTTAGGAAAATCCAGACAAGGCCATATTTGTCTCTATTGCGGTAAATGTTATTCGCGCAAATACGGATTAAAAATTCATATTAGGACACACACTGGTTACAAACCGTTGAAGTGCAAATTTTGCAGCAGGCCATTTGGAGATCCAAGTAATTTAAATAAACATGTCAGGCTTCATGCGGAAGGGAATACTCCTTATAGGTAAGAATGGAAATATATATCCTTCGTATTTTTAAGGATTTAGCAAAATCTCAGTATTTATGAAATATAAAAAGACGTAAGCAATTGGATTTAGACAAAAAAACAAATTAGGAGTAAAATAATTTATGGCTGTAATCATTTATTCAAAACTAATAAACTTAGTAAAGTCTACTATACCTTTTGGCAGCATTATTGACAAAGATACCTTTCAAAGAGTTTTATGAAGGAAATCACCTTCCGTAATAAATGATATAATCGTAAATCCTAACACTATCGCAAATTAGACATTGCGAAGGCTTATGCAAAACAAACAATTCAACATTTTTTCCGCCATTTTCATTAAATCATTATTATTTATTGATTATTCTTTTCTATTTTTAGATGTGACCTTTGTGGAAAAATCTTGGTAAGACGACGTGATTTAGAAAGGCATTTAAAATCAAGACATATGTTAGAAACTCATCCTGGAATGAATTTATTGGTAGATTCTCCTGTTGATAAAAAAACTACTAGCGATGAAGAATCTAAATCAAGCACAAATTAAAAAAAGTTAAATATTTTTTGTAAATATTTTGTATAAAAAAATAATTTTGTGAAGATGTTTTATATTTTTGTTTGTTGAAGAATAAATAAATTATTACCTGTTAATGAGACATTTTATGATCCATAAATAACATAAAAAATTCTGTTTTGTTGAAAATTCCGTAGATCCGTTGAAAAAGGAAGATTGTCATCAGTGATCAGAAGCTTTAGACAGTACATTAAAATTAGTAGGAAAACTGAATAATAGAAATAATTTAGAGTTATCTTTTATAAACTGCTATAACTTTCGTAAGGCGAATTTTCTGATGTTGTATGACATGATTTCCCAAATTGATTGGACTTTTCTGGATAGCTTTTATGAAGTTAATGGCACCTGTACATACTTTTATAAAAAATTATGCAATGTGTATCTAGGTACACAGTCCGCAGTAAGAAAAAATATCCTCCCTGATAAAATATAAATTTCATTCGCATAAAATCTACACTCTGGCGACAATGTAAGAAAGGGCATGATATTCACGGTTTTGAGGAGTTTAGATGCATAATAATACAAGTTAAAGTTGATGTCAATGAAGCCTATAAACAATATCTTGAAAAATAAATTATGGGCTTACATTAATAATAAAAATGCTTCAATAAAGTTGGCAATATCATGATCTATGAAAGTAATTTTTTTCTTAAACCATCAGATATATTTTAAATGGCTTTGCTACCTTTTTTTAGTAAATCTTATATGCAGCCTTCAGCCACAAATGTCCCGATAAACGAAAGTCACATGTATCAGTTAAACATTAGTAGCTTTTTAGAAAACCAAGTAGTAGATACTTTAAAATCAGTAAAGTAAGCGGACTACTTAGCCAGATCATTTTCCTGATTTTCTTTCAAAAGACTGTGCTGTAGCACTAGTTCGTCCTTTAACTGTACTTGTTGCAGTTGGACTAAAACCATACCGTCAGTGTAGAAAGAGTCTAAGGTTTATCCCATGTATAAAAAGGAAATAAAACTGAGGAGGAAAACTATAGCCCTATCTGTATCATCTGTAACTTTAGTAAAGTATTTAAAATGTTGTTGGAACATACAGATTACCAACACGTCAGCAACATAATATTCGGATCAACAACATGGCTTTGCAAAAGGTCGTTCAACAGCTACAAATCTCTCCATAAATTACGCAGTATATTTCAGAGAACATTGACAACTGAACTCAGACAGATGTTATTTATATGGATGTGACAAAGGCATTTGATCAGCGGTATTTTGGTAAAGAAACTAGCCTCTTTTGTACTTTCAAACAATCTTATTCAGCTTCTTATATCATGTCTCACCAACAGAACACAATACGTTCAATTCAATGGATTCAAATCTGACTAGTATTTTGCCAACTCCGGTGTTCCTCAAGGATCAAATCTATAGGCCCATTGTTGTTTAACATTTTCGTGAATGACATAGTGGATGTAGTTGATGTTGAATCTTTACGCAGACGACTTTAAATTTTACTTAACAATTATTAAGAACGTCGCGGATTATGAAAGGCTATCTGAAAAAGAGAAAATCTTAATTTGAATCCCTCTAAGTGTAATGTCATGTCTTATTTACTAAGCTTTGATCCAATTGCTTACAATTACCGTATGGGCTACACTTTAATATGCAGACCGAATAACTTTGTAAAATTGGGCGTTACTTTTGATTCGGCATTATCCTTCAATGACCATATTGACGGTATATTAACTTCAGCAAATCGCATGTACAGATTCATAATTCGGAACTGTTGGGATTTTAAGAATGCAAGCACGTTAAAGTGTCTTTATTATGCGTTTATCCGCTCAAAGCTTGAATATGCTTCGGTCATATCGAGTTCCGGTTACCAGGTTAGATGCTCTTCAAAGACGGTTTCTCAAATATGTAAAGTTTCCGAGAAGATCAAGTGTATCCTCCAATTGGCACCACACATAATCTGTTAATAAGACATAGTTTTTCGAGTCTTGAAGTAAGGCGCAAGTATTTTTCATTAGTTACACTGCATAAAGTCATAAGCGACAAAATAAATTGTTAAATTTTAGGATTCCCCGCCAAACTTCTAGGTGCAATGATATATTTTCCTTGACCACTCCTCGCACCAACATTTTAAGAAAATCTCCATGTGTACGAGGGTTGCCTTTTATATTTCCGGATTGGACAACCCTAGTGTTGCAAACTAACAACTGACAACTCCGTTGTAAAGTTAAATATTTTTGAGGTTACGCGTACTCAGAACGTTTTGGCATACGAGCGCTATTTGTGTTGTTTACAGTAACTTAAAAGATTCATCTCTGCCAAAAAATGGAATTAAATCGTGAACAGTTTGGTGATGAACTTAAATCTATTTTTGGCCATGAAGCTCCATCAAGGACCAGTGTTTATCGATGATATGGTGAATTCAATCGAGGTCGTAGTTCGCTCCAAGACGAATTTCGTGAAGGTCATCCAAAATCAGTTGTTGTTCTGGAAACCATTGATTCTGTGCGCCAACTGATATTGAAAGATCGTCATGTACCAATCGTGAGATTGAGACAACCTTAGGCATTAGTTGGACCAGCATACATTCAATATTGCATGAACATTTGACTGTCAAAACAATTTGCGTTGGATCTCACACAATTTGTGAATCGTTCAAAAAAAGGCTCGTGTCGATTGGTCGAAAGAAATGCTCAAAAAATACGATCACGGTCACATACTTTGATTTTCTTTACTCAAAGTATGTGATCACGGTGCTTAGAAACACGTCTATGACATAGTGACAGGTGACGAATCGTGGATTTACGCGTATGAGCCCGAAAGTAAACAGCAGTCGACTGTATAGGTGTTTCAAGATGAGCCAACTCCAACAAAAGTTGTTCGCACACGAAGCACTTCCAAGCAAATGGTCGCCTGTTGAAAAGTTGAAATAATTGCAATTAACCGTGCCTTGCAAATCATTAAAAAAATATATCTTGAACTCAGTTATGTATTTTCTCGGTTAGGACCTTATATGCACTGCCGCAGAATTGTTTATCTTTGTTTAAAACAACAGTATTGTGTAGGCATCACGTAAATATATAATAGTTTGTAAATAGTTATTTTAAATATTACTTATACCACGTGCTTATACCTACATTTTGAGAAAATTTAATGTGCCTTTTTTTCATCAAAAAACAAATATAATTAAAGCAGGAGATATGGTGATTCCTTATAAGTATAAGTTTGGTTATGTGAATTGTATTGTGATGCAATGAGTCATAAATTCATAATTATTAGAGGTTTATGATCTCAGATTTATTGGAATTGGTAATTTTTAAAGCAATGTTATTAAAGACTAGTTAATCTCACCAAGCTTATCATTTCCTATAACTATTTACTATTCTAAGCAGGAACTAGGCGTGTAAAAACCCTGTAAACAATTTCGTAGGAATTCTTAAAATGTAGGCGGATATTTAATTTTCGGATAATGGCTTTTCAGCCAACAACATCAATAATCTAATTTCAAAGAATTACCATGAAAATATTTAAGATCAAGGTTGACAAAATGCTCATTTAACTCCGAATAGGTTATAAATAGACGCCAAGAATGAAAATAAAGTGTAAGAGACTCGTTTTCGATTCATTTGCATAATTACCGGATTTTGATTTATAACAGTGGCGTAGCTAAATTTTGAAAACAACAAAGAGTGGTATTAAAAGGGGTACTAATTTGGTGTTGTCGGCATATTAGCTTCGTGTTCTGCGTGTAGGCTTTCTTACTGTTTTGCAGCACCACTTTAGAACAGCCCTGTTAATTTTAATTGAATATTCAAGTGGGGAATCCTACCTATGCATTAGAATCCTACTATAAGGTGCGTTTTAATCACCCGCTTCTGCTTCGGAATTGTCGGTTTTCTTGTTTTAATCTGACAGGTTGAAACGACTAAACCGACAATTCCGGAAGCAGAAGCGGATGATTAAAACGCACCTATATTAAAGTGCCAATGTCTGTCCGCGCCGCGATCTCGGGATAGAGAAAGCCAAAACCTTATCGGACTCAGATATAAGCTAGGGACACTTAGAGAAGCAAAATGACACCAAAATCATGGTACCGATTTTTGTAGTTCCCAAGATATAGAATTCAGTCGAAAATTTAAATGAATGAAATCGCCTAGATGTCAAAGATTACAAATTACGATCTACAATATTAAAGTGCCAATGTCTGTCTGTCAAATTACCGTTGTTTATCAACACACTATTCAATCAATAAGCAATCAACTATGAATTTTTTGATGAATCAACTTCCGGAACACCTGGATCAAGCCGGTCCCCCGGTCCTTAATATTTAATTATTTAAATTATATAAAAATCCCTGCCACCACTGGGATTCGAATCTGAGAACCTTCGATCTCAAAGTCATGACTCTAACCCAGTGGCGGCTCTTGACGAAAATTTTGGGGGTTTTCAGTGACAGAATATAGATATCAGTACAAATGTATGAAAAAACTTTCACAGCCGTATGCATAGTCGATCGCCAGTGACTCGCCGGCGATCCGCCGGCGAAAGCCCAAAAAGCTGGCGACTCGCCGGAGATTGTCACCGGAATGTCATTTCACGCAAGTTTTCATGTTCTTTTATAGGGAAAAATTTGATATTCGTTCATTATTTTTTGAGTTTTAAGAAATGAATCATGAATAAAAAGCGAGAGATACCGGCGATAATTCCTATAAAAGAAAATTAAAACTTGCCTGAAATGACATTCCGGTGACAATCTCCGGCGAGTCGCCACCTTTTTGGGCTTTCGCCGGCGGATCGCCAGCGAATCGCTAGGATACGCCGAAATGAATCTCTGGCGAGTCGCTGGCGATCGACTATGCATACGGCTGTCAGTGTTTTAAAAAGTTTATAATATACGTTCCTAAAACACTGACAGTTTTTTACCTACATCCGTACCGATATCTATATTCTGCTACTGTGAACCCCCAAAATGTTGGTCACGAGCCGCCCCTGCTCTAATCACCGAACCAACCCACCCCCGAAAGGGGTATTAAAAGGGGCATTAAAAACACATTGGAAATAATCCAACAAAGGTACCTAAAACTGATATTCTATAAATATTTCACAT